CGAAGCTTAGCTCTTTAGCATCTAACAGAGATTGTACCTTGTATTTCAAAGCTCTGCAGTTTTCAATTGAGTGACCGGGAGCACCTGAATGAAATTCACAATGTGCATCAACATCATAACCCCTTGGGAGCTCTTCCGGTGGGGGAGGTAACTCTCGAAGTTGTACCAACTGGCCAGCTAGCAACTGCGGGAGTAATTGAGCATACGACATCGGGATTGGATCCAACTTCCTCTCAGGATACCTTTGCTGCCTTTGTTGACCCCTCTGTCCCTGAGGCCGTTGGTTCTGTTGATAGTTTCGTGGCGGTGCGTATTGTTGTTGCAGAGCAGCAACCGCGGGGGTCTGGTAATATGGAACTTGTATAGTAGCCTTCCCCTTATCATCAGAGGCATTGCTCACCTCTCCTTCCTTTTTCTTGATGAAACCGCTAGAGTACAGTTTCCTCCCACCACCTGAGTTGTTGTTACTATTCGTGCCAGATGCACCTGAAATAGTCCCCATTTTAATACACATTTCAACCCGCTCTCCGATGATGACCATGTCTGAAAATGAATCAGAAGTACTACTGAGCATATGCTGCAAATACGGGCCTCGGAGGGTACTCATGAATAGATCTACTAATTCCCGATCTAGGAGAGGAGGTTGAACCCTTGCGACCAAACTGCGCCATTTTTGGGCATACTCTTTGAAAGACTCACCAGTCTTTTGAGACATACCCTGCAGCTGCGCACGGCTAGGTGCCATGGCGGTATTGTAGTGATAATGTTTTAAGAAAGCATCAACAAGCTCACTCCAATTACTAACATGAGTCTGCTCCAACTGCATGTACCACTCTAATGGAGCTTCAGCAAGACTGTCCTGAAAGAAATGCATAAGCAACGGCTCATTGCTAGCATAAGCAGCCATCTTTCTGCAGTAGGATCGGAGATGAGTCTCCGGGCATGTAACCCCCTTATACTTGTCGAAATTAGGTACCTTAAACTTTGGTGGGATCACAACCCCTGGAACCAAACACATAGCAGCGGCACTGAACCCTGGTTTCTTAGAAGTCTCCATAGCCTTTAAGCGTTCTTCTAAAGCCTTGTACATCTTAGCAGTTTCAGACAAATCAGCCGTGGAATCCTTTAGAGGGTCATCAAGATCAATGACATCATGGTGGTCATCCATAATCAGTCGTGGGTTCTCCTTAGGAATCCCTCAACGGTCCTTCTTGGGTCCGCCGTTCTCAGATGTGGAGGCAACGTCTACCAGTTTTGTAATGCTTATTCTGAGCTCTTCCTGTCCTTGGATGACGGCATGAAGAGTTTCCATGAGTTGATTCATTCGGTCACCCATGGTGTCCATGTCTTGGCGGAGAGTGGCCTGGTTCTGCTCAATCTGTTCCATGATCCTCAACTTGTTGGCTCGAGTGCGATAAGGATGTATGGAAGTCGTCTTGTAGATTCTATAATAAAAGGCAAAATCATCAGATAAGAACTCCTGCCAGAAAACCTGCAATTCACGAAATGCATGATATGTATGATGTATGAAATGATTGTCCACTCCAGTTCTCCATGGCTCAATTACCATCAATAGTAGTCGAGCAACATGATGACAAGAACAACCATATGAAGAAGACATCCAAAAATAAGAGAAATTCCCACAAAATTGAATATAAGGTTATGAGAGCATAAGATGAGCAATTCTTGTTTATTGGAAATAATAATGATTAGTTTGGGGGTAGGTTACTATATTTTTTTTTTCATCCATATCGCTTAGGCTCAAATAAAGTGCCTTAGCGATAATTTCAAAATTATGCCTATCCGGACTTGGCGACAGGTAGGTGTTCAGCAAAGAGGATTGTCCTTCCGGAATTGGGACAATTTGGTAGTCCTGGAATGTGTAACTCGTAGCTGTAAGACTGAAATAGGGTCGAAATGACGAAAATGGTCCTCTAGATTCTTCAAAGAAGGCCAAGAACTTGAGCGGGAAACTTGAATAGTACAAATAAGTATGATTGTCTCCTTTGGTTTTCTTGAGAACATCACCGTTGCCAAATGTTATTGGCGAAAATTATGCCAGAGAGGTATCCAAAGTGGACATGCGTATGCAAGGTTGATAATTTCATCTTTCTGACATTTCTTCTTTTTTTTTTAGAAATAAACATGTTATGATGTAAATGCAAAATGATCATGGTGTTACTACTTCCATGATACCAATATCTACTGTACTGTCTCTGCGTAGCTTGTAAGTACCAGGATCATAGGTCCGGAACATAAACCATACAATCTTATGAATAGACTCGGGACTCAAAATAAATCTGAGAACCTCCTAATCATTGACAGAGTTCCAGAGCATATCTAATAGAACCGATAGTCACTTTTTGAGTATAATCATCATTTGAATATGAGTAACCATCTGAATATGAGTCACCATCTGTACCTGTGATAGAAATTCCCTCCCCACTCACGGATGAAAACTAGGTCAGGGTAAGATAATGGTAACTCGAAAATCACGGGTCCGCCTGAAAGTGCTATGGGCTTACCCACAGACGTGGGTGCCGATAGTAATTCATTTGAACCTCATCCGAGCATGGTATGTGACATGACTGCACTAATCGGACCACGTCATATAGCCGTCATGCCCCCACTCTATTCCTAGGTGTCCTAGTGCACTCTGGCCTGGGTACTGGGCCTTTTACCTCAAAAGTGACATCCCAACCCAAACAAGAAGCAAATCCTGTACAGCATTAGTATATGGAAGACAGTAAAATACAATGCATATGTATGCTCAAGTATATACAAAATGAATGAATAAACTGAAAGCGTAAAGATAAACACCCAAGGAAAAGAAAAGAAGAGCTAGGAGCGACTCCGAGATGGACCAGCATTTGGTCGACCTATTCCCCAGTGAAGTTGCCAGCTGAAACAACCGGCTGAAAATCATCAAAACAATGAAGTCGCCATTGAATGTCTTTTATCCCACATGTAGGGAAAGGTAAACATCGAGAAAACCTGATGAGGGAGAAGTCACGGTATTGCGACCGAGAGATCGGGTAAGGGAGTCTGTTACGCGAGGGGAAGGTATTAGCACCCCACACGCCCGTAGTACTCTACGGTATCCACTCTTGTTATCTATCTTATGGGTGTGTTTAATCTATGCTTACTGTTTATTACTGCTAAAGGAGAATGCATGCAAAAGAAAGGATAAAAGAATGTGGGGAAAATAAAATTGTGCTCGCTTGGGCCCTACCCCAATGCCTACGTATCCGTTTTGAGGAATCAGAGCTACCGTAGTTCGGCTTATATGTTTTTGTTTGTTTGTGTTTTTTATGGACGAAGTTAATTCCGCCTTCTGCCACAGCTCGGCCTTTGGAGACTTATGCGTTGGAACAGAAGTAAATTAATCATGTCCTTACCTGAAAAGGGTTTTAGAGAGAAGGTGCTCGAGCGCACAAAATGGTTTGAATTTGTTTTGTATTTTTGTTGCAGATAATGACTAGTCGACCTCAAGAGAGAGATATTAGCCATTTTTCTACTTAGTTATGAAAGGAGTCTTTGAGAATTGAACCACACCTATGCTTGAGATGAAGAACGATAAGATCAAGAAGAGACCCGCTTATCATTTCCCGTACTAAGCAAAAGCATGATTCAAATCAATAGTTTTAAAGTGTTTTGAATTCTTTTGAAAAGAAAAAGAAGTTTTAGATGCGTATGCAAAAAGGGAAGCAAAGTTAAAGGGGAATTAGCCTATTTCTAAACCTGGTGTTATCGTGCATTAGTAGCCATAAGATTTAGGTTAAAGGGGAAATTTCTACCTAATGTTAGCATGCATATGGACCTAAAGTTAGAATTTGGGGGGTTCTACCTAATGTTTGCATGCTTGGATTTTAGAATCCTAATGTCCAGTTTTAATTTAATGAAGTCGAAGATTAAATGTGAACCAGAATATCCTAAGGGGTCATGAAAGACTATACAAAAAAGTGAAATCGGTAGCAAGTATTAAAGTATTGCATACGATCCAAAATAAAGCATTGCAAATAAAATACATGATACAAAATGAATAAAATTAATGATTAAAATTGACTAAAAAAATTAGCAGAAGAAGAAATATATTCCTAATTAATTTCTAAAATGCCTTCTAATATCTCTATCGTTTTCTACTATATATTTTGTTATAGTTTTATCATGTACTTTTATTGACAAAAATTATGAAAGAGAAAAAAACAAAATGAACATAAAAGGAACAGAGGTGTAAAGTCAGAATGGGAGTGTATTAGGAACAGGGCGTTGGACCATCTCAGAAAAGTGCAAAAGCCTTTTTGTTTTTTTTTCATGTAATCATCAGCTTAAGCTTCAAACAAGTTGAAATATACCTAAGGGAATGCTATTCGGCCCAGTAATGTACCCAGCCCGTACATCTCAACAAGCATTTTTTTGTTGAGTTAAAGCTTCAAGCTACCAAAAACATTATTGAGCTTAGGTAGGTATGGTTCGGCCCAACATCATATCCATCTATTTCTTTCCTCCAACATTATTCACTATTATTAATACAATTTAGAGAAAAAAAATAATAAAACAAAATAATGAATCAACAATGAAATATGAAACAATGCAGTTTTGCATTAGGTTGGGAGAGTAACCCTTGGTCTTCTCTTGAATACCCGATCCTTGTTTTCATCTTTCTCTTTCTTTCCTTCGCCGTCATTCAGCTTATTCCACCATAGCCTCACCTCACTCCGCCATAGCCTCACCTCAATTCCGATTTTGCTCCGCCATAACCTCACATCTCTTCATCGTCCTTGCCTCATCCAAATCTCCGTTCTCCATAGACGGTGAATCATCGTCATAATCACCACCATCTGTATCGGAAATCTCAAACCACATACACCAATTTCTTCATCTCTGCATGAATGTTCTAAATCCTACCTCCTTTTTCATCCATCTCTTTTATTTGTTCTTAATTTATCCAAAAATGTAAACCCTAAGCCTCTGAGAATACAGACTAAACAAGGATGAATATGGGTTCCCGGCCGCGCCTCTATTGGGCCATTGATTGGCATGCTTTCCTCTACATACTTATACAAAGAAGTCATGAAGAAGACAAAAAAAGTGAGTTTCAGATCTTACCGGTCGGAGGCGTTGCAACGCTGTTTCGTAGTCACCATCGTCGAAACAAAAGTTCAGAAATCAATTCAGGTACGACATCACTTGATTTCTTCCACTCGATCTTCTTCTTCTCATCCCTGTGAATTTCTTCTGTTCTTGCGTCTACTTTCTTTGTGTGCGATCGGTAATGTTAATTGTCGCGGTGTTGATGCATTTACTATGAACCATCAGAGGGATTGAAAGGAGAGTTTAGAGGTCTTAGCTCTGTTGATTAGAGTTTCAGAGGTTGGAAACTCTAACAACAATGGTGATGAGCGTATATGTGAGGTTAGGGATGGAGAAAATCAGAGAGTGGAGAGAGAAAAGTGAATAGTGGAACTGAAGAATTGGTGAAAAAAATCGTGGTGTGAAATTTGGAGGGAGCAGAATATATATAGGCACTAGGTTCGGATGAAGGGAAGGTTTGGGAGTTAGGTTCGGAGGGTTAAGTTTGCTCAGGAGTTTGTTATCTCAGCTTAGGAGTCAGTTAGTTAGCTTCGGAGTCAGTTACACAGGTTTGGGTGATTTGAAGTTAGGCTTGGAATTCAGGTGGAGCAGCTTCGGTTTCAGTTAGAAGCTTGAGTTGATTAAGTTTGTGTGAAACAAATGCTAGGTTCGGTATATTAATGTTAAGATTGGGAGTTTGTTATTGAAGAGGGAATCAGTTGGAGGAAGTTAAATTCTAAGTCCTTGGATTTGATGGATCAGTTTTTCTGTTATGCATATGTTGTTCAGAAGTTGGTTACAGGTTTGTTAAGTTAGTTGGAGTTGTTTTTGGTTAGTTAAGAAATTCTGCTATGAACTCTTTTTTATGTGCAGGGCTGCTTCTATTTCTGTTAGCAAGTTATGGAAGTTGGTTATAGTTAGGATTGGTTAGGGGTTAGTTAGGTTGTTTGTTGTTAGGATTGGGAAATGGAAAGTTGTTCTGTTTTGCAGTGTTACCAATTCTGTTAGAAGTTTGTTATTTTCTGTTGGCTTTTTATTTGGAATGCTGGTTCAAATTGGTTAGTTTCGGTTAGGAGTTGGTTATTTGCAAGTTGGTCGTTAAAAACAGTTAGAAATTATGTAAGGGTTCTGTTGGTTTTTTTTTTTGTTAGCTGAATTAGTTACAGTTTGTTAATCCTAGGTTGAGAAGTTAGAAAAAATATGTTAGGAAAGTTAATGAAGTGAATTACTGAGATGGATTTCTCTTAGTGTCAGTTATTTTCGGTTATGAAAATAAATTGAAGGTGGAGTGAGGTTAGAAAGCAGATGTGATGTCATGGTATTCTTGTAATAGCAGGGTGACTTGATGTGTGTATGAACATGTCAGTTGTATGCTATATTTTTATATTTTATGATCATGATAATGAATGTGTGTGGTGCAGGTTCAGTGGTGCAGCTTGGCATGGTGAATGAAAAGGTATATTGAAGATGGTTTTAACAGCAAGTTTGGTCATAGATGATGCGAATATGACATATAAACATGGTGAAGAAATTCAAGACATAAGGGAATCAAGCATGAAGATTACTTTGGTGTGTTATGGAAGCTTGAAGTTTGGTTTTTGCAACCAAAAGCATGAAGTTCATAAGTCTAGAAACTTAGAATTCCTATGTTTTAGGACCAAATTCATACTGTCATGTTTAGAACTTTGTATTCTTGTCATTTTGAATGAAGTTGAACGAACTTTGATAGAACTTGTACAATATGCTTGAATATCTTTGAATTTGATGAAATTTCTCCCATTTTATTTCTTTTCAAATGATTTCCACGTAGTATCCACGCTATTCTGAATACTTAGCTTAAGTCCCTGAAACAAACATTGATGGAAGAATTGGGAATAAATCCCTAATTTTGATGGATGATAAATGAATGATGCTTCCATACTTTTTGCGTAAAGATCTTGACTCATACACCTTTAATTAATGAAAGTTAGATACACCTAGTCTTGATAACTTTGTAATCATAACCATAAGAAGATAAAATTTGATCCCCAAGCCTCAAAGGAATCCTCAAATGAATGACCCATCCCTGATTCCATGATTCTTGACTAATGCTGATGGAAATATAGTCCTATAAGTTGAGGAGGCTCCAAATAAATAATTCCATTCCATGGTCAAATAGAAACAACATTTGAATCTTGCTCAATTGATACACCCATCTCGAACCATATGGAAATCCTAATCTTAAGCCTTGAAGAAAGATTGCAACTTGATGTTGAGAAGAAAGAATATCCTTATAGTTTGACGATAAAGTAGTCCAGGAAATAAAACCCTAGCTTCAATCAAATTATTAATGGAGAAATCAACCGAAATAAGCTTGTGCGAAGATGAGAGCCTTAAAGCCATACACCAACCCTTATTCCTCGAAATTCATGATCTTATGCCAATTTATTGATTAATGGTGCATGATGTGTTAGATGACCTAATGGAAATTATGTATGTGAGAAAAAATGCAAAAATGCGTAAGCCAGATAGGAAGTAAAAGGGTAGGACAAATTTGGGGTATTACAGTTATCTGCTAGACAATTGAGAAAGTTGATGCAAGAGGAAGCGCAAATGTTTTCATTGATGGTGTCGCTATCTATAGAGACTCAAGCTATAATTGAGGAATTGCAGGTGGTATGTGAATTTCCTGAAGTTTTCCCTGATGAAATTCCTGATATACCTCCGAAGAGGGAAGTCGAATTTGCTATTGATCTTGTACCTGGTACCAGACCTGTGTCTATGGCACCATACAGGATGTCTGCATCTGAGTTGTCAGAGTTGAAGAATCAATTGGAAGAGTTACTTGAGAAGAAGTTTGTAATACCAAGTGTATCGCCGTGGGGTTCTCCAGTGTTGTTAGTGAAGAAGAAAGATAGAAGCATGAGGCTTTGTGTTTATTATAGACAGTTGAACAAGGTGACGATTAAGAACAAGTATTCGCTTCCAAGAATATATGACTTGATGGACCAATTGGTGGATGCTCGTGTATTTAGTAAGATTGATTTGAGGTCGGGATATCATCAGATTAAAGTGAAGGATGAAGATATTTAGAAGACGACTTTCAGAATGCGTTATGGACATTACGAGTATTCGGTGATGCCTTTCGATGTTACTAATGCGCCGGGAGTATTCATGGAATATATGAATCGTATCTTTCACACTTATTTGGATCGGTTCATAGTGGTGTTCATTGATGATATTTTGATTTACTCTAAGTCAGAAGAAGAGCATGCTGAACATTTAAGAGTAGTATTGCAAGTTTTGAAAGAGAAGAAGTTGTATGCAAAGCTGTCCAAGTGTGAATTCTGGCTGAAAGAGGTTAGTTTTCTTGGTCATGTGATTTCAGGTAGTGGCATTGTTGTAGATCCATCGAAGGTTGATGCTGTGTTGCAATGGGAAACTCTGAGGTCAGCTACTGAGATTAGAAGCTTCTTGGGATTAGCTGGTTATTATAGAAGGTTTATCGAAGGGTTTTCTAAGTTGTCACTTCCGTTGACTAAGTTGACTTGTAAAGGTAGAGCTTTTGTTTTGGATGTTCAGTGCGAAGAAAGTTTTACAAAATTGAAGAAGAGGTTGACGTTGGCTTCGATTTTGACGTTGCCTAATCCAGGAGATCCTTTTGTGGTTTATTGCGATGCTTCTAAGATGGGTTTAGGAGGTGTGCTTATGCAAAATAGTAAGGTAGTTGCTTATGCGTCAAGGCAGTTGAGGACTCGTGAGAAGAACTATCCTACGCATGATTTAGAGCTTGCTGGTGTTGTTTTTTCATTGAAGATTTGGAGGCATTATCTTTATGGTTCTATATTTGAAGTGTTTAGTTACCATAAGAGCTTGAAGTATCTATTTGATCAGAAGGAGTTGAATATGAGGCAACGAAGATGGTTGGAATTGCTAAAGGATTATGATTTTGGTTTGAATTATCATCCAGGAAAAGTGAATGTGGTAGTTGATGCATTGAGTCGAAAGGCTTTACACATGTCAGCAATGATGATTAAAAAGTTGGAATTGATTGAGCAGTTCAGAGATATGAGCTTAGTTTGCGAGGTTGCTCCGCAGAGTGTTATGTTGGGTATGTCGAAGATTAATAATGAATTTCTAGACAGTATCAGATAAGCTCAGAAGTTGGATGTGAAACTAGTAGATTTGATGGTTGGGATTGACCAGTCTGAGAATAATGATTTTAAGCAAGATGAGAAAGGTGTGTTGAGATTTCGTAATCGGATTTGTATTCCCGATGATGCTGAGATGAAGAAAGTGATACTTGAAGAGAGCCATAGAAGTAAGTTGAGTATTCATCCGGGAGATACAAAGATGTATCAAAATTTGAAGGGTTTGTTTTGGTGGCCTGGGATGAAGAGTGATGTGGCTCGGTTTGTGTATGCATGTTTGACTTGTCAGAAGTCGAAAGTTGAACATCATAAGCCTGCAGGATTGATGCAACCGTTGGAAGTTCCTGAATGGAAATGGGATAGCATTTCAATGGACTTTGTGACAGGATTGCCTAATACTTTAAGAGGATATGATTCGATTTGGGCGATTGTTGATAGGCTTACGAAGTCGGATCATTTTATTCCTATTAACATCAGTTTTCCAGTGTCGAAGTTGGCTGAGATTTATATTAGTGTGATCGTGAAGCTGCATGGTGTTCCTTTATGCATTGTGTCAGATAGAGATCCAAGATTTACTTCTAATTTTTGGAAGAGTTTGCAAGAAGCGTTGGGTTCTAAGTTGAGGTTAAGTTCAACGTATTATCCTCAGACAGATGGTCATACTGAACGGACTATTCAATCGTTGGAAGATTTGCTGAGGGCATGTGTTCTTGAGCAGGGAGGTTCGTGGGATACTTATCTTCCGTTGATAGAGTTCACTTATAATAACAGTTACCATTCTAGTATTGGGATGGCACCTTTTGAAACATTATATGGTCGGAGATGTAGAACTCCGTTATGTTGGCATGAATCTGGTGATAGTGTAGTACTTGGACCTGAACTTGTTCGTGAGACTACTGAGAAGGTGAAGTTGATTCGAGAAAAGATGAAAGCTTCACAAAGTAGACATAAGAGTTATCATGACAAGTGAAGGAAAGATTTAGAATTTCAAGCTGGTGATCATGTGTTTTTGAGAGTTACACCTGTGACTGGTGTTGGGTGAGCATTGAAGTCTAAGAAGCTCACTTCTCGTTTTATTGGACCGTATCAGATTTCAGAGAGAGTGGAGAATGTTACTTATAGAGTGGCTTTACCGCCTAATGTTTCTAATTTTCATGATGTGCTTTATGTGTAGCAACTTCAGAAGTATATTTCAGATCCATCTCATTTGATTCATATGGACGATATGCAAGTACGGGATAATCTTATGGTGGAGACGATGCCTGTACGGATCGCGGATCGTGAAATGAAGATTTTGAGGGGAAAAGACATTGCCTTGGTTAAAGTGGTTTGGCTAGGAGCTGCTGGTGAAAGCATGACTTGGGAGTTGGAGAGCAAGATGCGAGACTCATATCCCGAATTGTTTGATTGAGGTAAATTTTCGAGGACAAAAATATTCTAAGTGGAGGAGAGTTGTAACGCCCGTAATTTAATTAATTATTTAATTAAATTATTTTTGGAATATTTGTGAAGATGTGTTATAATTAATTGGATTTATTTTATTAAGTGGAGAAATAATATTAGAGATATAATATTATATGGTGAAATAATATTAGAAGTGTAATATTATTTAATGTGGGCTTATTTTGAAGAAATAGAAGTAATAAGGGGGGTGTATTGGTTTTAAGCCCAATATGGAATAATAGAATAATAGGGTTATTTTATTGTTGTTGGAATATAATAGAAAGAAAGAAGCAGTAGAAGAAATAAGGATTTGGAGGAGAACGTGCAAACTCTTGGAAAAAGTGGAAAACGGCGAGAACGAGAACTAAACCGGAAAAGGTTCTACGTTCAGTTAGTGCTTCATGACACCACTCAGTAGCCCCGTATTCTCCTTGATTCAACTCAAGGGACACTGGTACCCACAAATATGTCACACTAACGTAGCTATCGCTTCAACTATATCGGTCTACGCCATACAGTTTCCACGATTTATTGCTACTTACCTAAAATGCCCCCGATCTGGGTATAAGATCTTTACAAGAATACCCAAACAACCCTTCAAGAATAAATAAAGCAAGTCAAACAAGGAAATCATTTAAAATATGAACTATCTCTAAGGTAACCCTACTTTTAGTTTTTCGTCAGTTCTGTAATACGGTAGGAGAACTGGCTTTACTAGTTTTACGTTTTATCGCAAATGTTGCGGTTAGCAAGAGTCGCCAACAACTTTTCTTTTATCCAACAAAGGAAAGGGTGAAAAGAACAGGAAAAACTTTTTTAAAGATTTTGAGTTCAGGGGGTAGATTATGAAAAGGGAAGGTGTTAGCACCCTTTTCATCCGTAGTTATCTACG